ATTCTTCAGAATCTGCAGAAAGCACAATGACAAATGATATCATTAACAGCAGAAATTCGAGAGTCTCGTAGTTTACTTTTTTTTTTGGTACTGAAGATTTAACCCAAAGTTCTTAACCACTGAGCCACATCCCCAGCTCTTTTTATTTTTTTTATTTTGAGACCGGGTCTCGCTATATTGCAGAGGCTGGCTTTGAATTTGCAATTCCTCCTTCCTCTGCACTGCCTCAGCCTCCCCAGTCATTGGGATCACAGGTGTGCCACCACACCAGCTATGCCTGAACATTTTTATCAGCATCATGAGGCTTCATGAAAGCAGATCTTAAAACACTACTGAGTTTAGGAAAAGACAACACTAGGGAGAAATAAATCAGAGCTGTGTCCCAACAGAAGGAACAAGGGCTTAACACTGCAGGTGATATTTGAAATGTAAAGTGAGAAAATAACAGCAACAACAAAGCTTGCATTTTACACATCCTCTACCTTTGTCTCTTTCTCTATCCACCTGCCTGCCACCCGTCCACCCATCTATCCAGGAAAGTGATTTCTTATATAAATCTGTTTGCCCACTAGTGCATCTTGGGCAACTCTTAACCAGCAGGGACAATTTTGATTTTTCTAAGGAGAGAGAGAGAGCTTAGAGGTGAAATGAAATAAAAGCAGCAACACATAAAAAGCTTTCTCATGATGCATGAAAATGTAGGACACAATTTTAAAAAGTAAGCTCTTCAGAATTCAGAAACGAAAGAACTTCGCAAGGCACTTCCCTCCCACACCTCATTGTGAGCGGTATCTGAAGGGCTTTGAAGTGTCGCAGCAGTGGGGATCCTGATGTGGCCCGGGAGACCGCCCCATGGCATATGTGGGCCAAGAGCCATCACCTGTCTGTTGTCTAGATAGGCAAAATTAAAAAAGAAAATGCTGGGTTCTGGGGGGAGAGCATATTTCTTTGAAGTGTCTTTTCAAACCTGGCTAAGTTCTCAACTTTGAAAATTTGGGAAGGTTGGTAATTTCTCTGTGCCGGAGTCAACACATTATGCCTACAGTTTGGGAGAAGATAATTAGCACGTTTAAAAAGTCAAACTGTTTTTTAGTTCCACAGAATATATTAATGGAGGAACCTCCCTCCTGCACGGGGGCTTGGTCCTCTGTGAGAGAATATTCTTAAAACGCTCTTCATTGCCCATGTAAAGTCTGTACTAGAAAAACCTTTCAGAGATGAGGCGTCAATGTGAAATGAGTTCACTTGTAAATAGGGTTTTAAAACACTAGGTTAATTAACAAGTTGGGATAAACTCTCAGGAGAATACCAGCAATGAGCTTGTGGTGTATGGGACTCATCATTTCCATTAATAGAGTCGAGATACACACCTCATTCATCATGTAGCTTGATAAAAATACAACTTGGAAATAAATAAAACTAACAGAACATATAGGCACTGAATCACTTCTGTGGCGCTGTGCTTCAGGTGGCCTGAATGTTTCTGATGCACATCTTTTTTCCAACTCGGGAGTCCTGGCCCTAATTCAGCCCACCACACAGTCTCTGCCTTGAAACCTCAGCATTGTCTAAAGCTTTCTTTTCTTGTCGACTACTGTGACCAATTTATTACCAGATCTTCTCAATTCTGACTCAGAAATAGCTCTCAAATCTGCCCTTGCCACTCACTCTACCACCAATACTTCTTCTAAAGCCCTGTCCTCTGGGCTACTTAATAGCCATTTAAAAAAGATTTTCCTAAGTACCGCTAATAATAGAAAACACCTACACCGTGCTTACTATGTATGAAGAACTGTTCTAGGAGCAATTGATTCTCACAAGAGTGCTACCATAGATGCTGTTATGTCTATTTCACAGAGAAAAAATAGAGCACTGAGAGATTAGGTAACTTGTGCAAAGTCATACAGCTGGTCAGGAGAAGAACTAGTATTTGAACTCAAATGGTGTGTCTCCAGAGTCTCTGCTCCAATGATTAATTGTTTTATTTTAACTCATTATTATTATTTTTTTATTGTCGTTACTCTTTTGGAGAAGGCAACACAGTTATCTGGTTCAAAATTCAAAGCCACAGAGGGCATATATTGAGAAGCCTCTCACTTAAGTTCCCTGTGGCACAGGTCCCTGCTCTGAAGGTATTGCATGATTAGTTTTTTCAATAGCACCCCAAGCAAATGCCTATATGCTAGTTCCCTCCTTTTTTACGGTATGCAAACATAGTATATACTCTCCTATAGTCTAGAATACAATTTGGCTTGTTGCCCTTTTCACTTAACAACATGTATTGAAGATCATTCCAAATCAGTATATGAAGAGTTTCCCCATTTCTTCATTTTTTTTCCCTCTCTTTCTTTAAAGACTGCAGATGGTCTATATTAGGAATGGACAGCTTTTTCTATAAAGGGCCAGACAGTAAATATTTCAGGCTTTGAGTTCCATATGGTCTCTGTCACATATGCTGCTGTTGCTTTCCTTCTTAAAAAGACATTTTAAAAAACATAAAACCCACTCACGGGTCATACAAAGACAGGCTACGGGCCAGGTTCTCACCTTGCCAGGTTTTTACCTTGCCTCCCTGTACGCATTTGTTTTCTGGCCTGGCTCCTTCTTGACCATTCTAAGACAGCAAACTTCCTATAAAACATCTGAGGCTGCCACTGCACTGTGTGAGCCCTTCACAGCTCCCCTATTCTGGTCCCCAGAGTCTGCTAGCTCTGCCTGACTGTTCTCTGACGTCACCACTCCCCATCTCCTCCCTCCCTTTCTTCCATCCTCTCCAGCTGCATGAATTTTTCTGTTCCTTAAACTAGCCATATCCATTTCTGCCCTTGAGGGTACTGCTCTTCAGGATAGCTCCTTTCTGAGGTGCAGTCTCAGTTTGGATGCCCTGTACTCAGAGAGGCCTCCCCTGCCCACCAGGGATGGCTCCCCATCCCCCACCACTTTGTTTTTTCCACAGTCCACTGTACAGCATTACAGATTACAGCATCTGTAATCATACTGGTTTATCTTTACAGTCCTGTTTCCTCTAGGACATAGGGACACCCCACTGCCCAGTACGTTGACTGATTCGGATAAACAAACAGAATTTTCTGATCAGGTGAATGGAGTTTTTATACCTTCCTGAGCTAGGGTCAATTTCTTCTTTGTTAGCTCTGAGAGCACTTTGTACAGATCTTCAGGATCCCACCCGGCTGTAAATAGTTACTGATCACAAATACTTACTGGTTGATTTATATATATCTTGAATATCAAACATCATGCATATCTACAAAACCTTTTCAATAGCTACAACAAACTCCTTCAGGTAAGGGCCACCTTGAATGGGGTTTAAATGGCAAGCATCAACACATATGGTACTACTTAGCATCTATCCCTGGGCTAAGTGCTTTCTCACATGATCTCATTTAGCCCTTATAATAACCTCAATGAGGAAAATAGAGCTCAATGAGGTTTGTAAGTTACCCCTGGCAGATTTGGAATTCACCACCAAGCCCTCTTGCAGCCAGCCATGGTGGGATGGCTCTTTGAAGTTCTGTTTGCTCTAGAGGTCTGAGGGCACCAGCATGTTCCACAGACCTGCCCTGTGTCCCTGCACTGGGACCTGGGGGCCTAGCTCTGCTCAGGGAGGAGTCAACTGAGACTCTCTCCCTCCCCTGCAGCAAGGTCCTCTCTTGTAGGGGCACAGATGTCCCTCTGCCAGCCAGATGGAGAGGCATGATGACGAGGCTGCCCTCTGCACACCTGTGACTGTGCCAGCCCCAAGGGCAGCCAGATGTCCTTGGGGCCTGCCTCCTGCTGCCACATGCTGCTTATCCATGTGGACATAAGCTGCTCTGCCAGCTCACTCTTGGGCTAATGCGGAGGGACTATAGGGGCTCTGGGCAGGAGGGCCAGGTGACTAGAAGGCAGGGGAGACAAGGGCAGAAGGAGCAGTGGTCTCTTTGTTCTTTCCTTTAAAGGAAGAAATTTTTCTCACAAATCCTACCAGGGAATGAGAATAGTAGACAATAATCAACATGATTTTTCCTCAGAAGTATGGACTCCTTCTATAGCAGAGCACTTCCCAACATAAAGGAGAAGACAGTGTTGGAATATTTTGGCAGTGATCTGGTTCTATTTGTGAGCAACTTTTCCACTCCTTGGGAAAATTCTGTCAAGAGAGTGGGTTTCAAATGTTAGGCTAATGCTACTCAAAGCATGGTCCTAGGACAGCAGCTTGACTTTACTGGGCAGTATAGAAATCTAACAAGTGCCACTCTGATTCTGCCTATTTTTGGTGCAACTGTGGTTCAGAGGCAGTGTTGCATTTAGATGCTCCTGAGATCAGATCTCAGCTCACTGCCTGCAAACTAGGTGACCCCAACTAATTACTTCATCTCACCAAGTGACAGTTTCATTAACTAGTAAAACCAAGACACAATGTCCACACTTTCAGCTGTGAAGTGTAAAGGGGATAATGTACACAAAGTGCTTATATCAAATCAGCAGCCTATAGTAAGTGCTTGATAAACATTAGGTATTGCTCTTATGGGAAGAACATACCAATTGGTTATGCCATTGAACATTGGATTGGGTCAGAGTGTATTCATTTCACATATAGGGACAGGGAAACCCAAAGGGGTTCACTTAATGAAGCACAATGACTGTGGTTTCTCTGATATTTACTCTGACCTTAAAGACAAAGAAAAAGGATTATATGGTAGTAGCTGTCAAACTCTCAAACATTAAGATCTGCATTTTCATCTGCAGGACTTTCAGATATATACGTCTTCCAACTTGAGAAACAGTGGCCTAGAGAATATATGTATTCATTCCACACATGTAGGGCTGGATACCTGTGGATCCCTGGGGTGGGACATACACACGAGGATGAATCAGGCCCTACCTGGTGTCCACCCAACTAAGAGCTGGGGGCCTCCAAGAGAACTTAGGGCTTGTGCTGCTAGGCCCCGACATCAGTAAGAGCCGAAGCCCAGAAGAGCAATGGAAAAAGGCCTTACCTGGGCTTCTGCAGCTTCAACGCTGTGGGAGAGATTTCCATTTTGTACAGGTTCCGAAGCATCGCTGGAAGGTGTCATTTCAACTTCTGTGCTCGTGCTATTTGGGAGTTCGATTTTTTCTGTGACATAATTTAAACACACACACACACACACACACACAAAGAAAACAATGGAATCAATGGCGGCAAAGAGTCACATTAAGAAAGTGCAACCTAAAATGCTGGGCCAGAGAGAAGATAGATGGTGGTGTCTGAGGCCTGGGGCTGGTGTTGGCCCAATGGCAAAGGGCCTTTACCATCCTTCCTGTGCCTTCTAGCATACTGCCCTCCTGCCCTTTGACAGGGCTCTGGCTTGCACTGGCATGATATCAGCTTGTGTGCCCCTCAGCCCCGTGGAACTATCTTTCCTTTCCTTTTTCTATGGTGCTGGGGATGGAACCCAGGCCCACGCACCTGCTAGACAAGTGCTGCACCACTGAGCCATGTCCCAGCCCTCAGGTCCCACGGCGTGTCCTTCTCCAACAGAGGCAAACTAGCCATTCAAAACACAAATGTAGATACTCAAAACCCAAAGCCACACCCAACCTACGCACTGCTGTTTACCCTCTGGACCTTGTCCCTCAGTGTTTTCTCATCCTGGGTCTTGCACACTGTACTCTGCAGAGGGTATTGGTACCTGGGCATTCTGCCACTATAAGGTGTTGTCTTAGGCAAGTGTCCTCCTTCCTTGGGGTTTCGACAACCTTACCTGTGAAGTGAGCTCTTCAACTGCTGCCTCTCCAGGGCCTATTCCCTTCAGCTACTTCTCTCAGGCTTGTGAGTAGAAACTCTGCCAGTGCCTCAGTGTTCACTGGGAAGACAGGCTTGGCAAGCTGGCCCTTCTCATGAGCCTGGGGAATGCTACTGAGAACTTTTCTCACCAGGGCATCCCATTGCAGGCCAGGCAAAGAGGAACCAGGCAAGCAAGAGAGGCCCAAGTCCTGAATGAGGCAGTGGTTGGCTAAAGTGGAGCCCTGGATCAGCAAGTGCAAAGACAAATTTTCTTCCGAGAGTTGAGAAGTGACTATGATTGAACACTGGGACTCTGTGACGCTGACACAGACAGGCCTGTGTTCTTTATCTCACTCTACATCTTATGTAAGTGACTCAACCTCTTTGAAATTGAGGCAATGTTAATAGTACTACAATTATTATTACCACTACTGCTACCCCCACCATGACTACAGGGCACTTCAATAAAGATTAAATAAGAAAATGCATATAAAGCACTTAGCATAGTGCCTGGTACAGGACAAGCAAGCAGAGACAAAGATAGTGAGCCCTGTTACAGTGCCTGCCTTTTACTAGATTTTTTTCTCTAGGGCTAAGAGGAGCACCTCCAGGTGATCAGTGTTCAGGCACCGCTGGGGTCACGTGGGACTTCAGTGGGAAGGAAATAAAAAGGTTTCTATTGGAATGACATGCTGTGTGGGGTCAGGCCCCGGGCTTCAGGAGAGAATGAGGCTGTATGGTGCACTATTAGGGCTGCTGGAACCTTCCAAAGGCTCATCAGTGTCAGATATAAGCAGGATCAAGTTGCTCACGGAGTATCAGAATGTTTTTATTTCTAGTAACTTCAGAAGAACTAAAGGTTTCTGATATTCATACAGAAGAAAACAATTTGAAAGGTATATAAACATTGTTGTGCTTGAAGCTGCCTGATATCGGAAATCACAGGAAGTGCATTTAGTTGTGGCATACAGAGATATAAATTGATTTAAATATGGAAAACCACAGAAACTCATTTTTACTTTATCTGTCCATGTTTTTAATAGTGACAGTGATTAGGAGTTGATGTTTTGTGGGGCTCTGCCAGTTTATCTTGATATGTTTGATTACTAAGTACCTTGGAGAGTATTAAAACCCTATTTGGGAGAGTGTACTGGCTGGAATGATAACCCTCAGGATCTGCCAAGCTTGCTCCTAGTGACACAGGATTCTGGGTACCCAAAGGGAATAAGAGCATCCAAGGATAGACACGAAACCACCCACCAGGCCTAACACCTAACTCGAGGATGCACATTTTAGCTTAGGAAGTACTTTCGCATGGCAGGCTGAGGTTTTTGTCACCAAGGAAAAGATAAAAATAAATCTTGGACTTAACTTCGAAAGCTTGGATTTTAGACACACTTCTATCTTGTAGTTACAAAGTTATTCACAGACTAATCGACTTGCAAGGCTCCTTGGAGTTCTGTGTCCCACCTTATCATAGGTCATCGTTCAATAGGAGGAGGGCAGAGCTGGAGCCCAGGCATTTAAATCTTACTACAGACAACTTCATTCCACAAAAGAGAAATCAAGTGGAGAAGAGAAAATAGATTGTATAATTGAACCTAAATATCACAAGCCAAACTTAACCTGGACAATAGATTTTTGTGGTATGGTTTTACATTTTTATAATACAAAGGCGAAACATGCTTATTCTGAAGAAAATGTGTCCAAGTTCACAGAAGCATAAAGAAGCAGACAAAACACACAGTTCTTGGTGCTGACTTCAAGATATCACCATTGTTAATATTTTCACTGATTTTTGTTCAGTTTTTCTTTTCATACCCAATCGAATCTTGACTGTTTCTTGGCCAAAAATTTCTCTGAGCTACAAGTCAGGATAACAGGAGAGGCAGAGACTCTTCTACAGAGTGTCATGTATTTTGAGTGCAACACTGTTGAATTTTGTCTGCAGATAATTTTAGTTACTTGGGCAATAGCTTCGTTTATAGCATAGATCCAGATTAGGTTAAATTTAGTTTGAATTTAGAATTAGAGAACTGTATTATAGTTACAGACAGGAGAGGAGGAACATCATGTTCCAAGTTAAAATAAGATGCCTGAATGTCACAATCTGGTCACACAGGAGTTCTGGAAAAGTCAGCCAAAAGAGACCTGGGCTGGTACTACTGAATTCTCGAGAAAGAAGAGGCAGCCTTGACCCAAAGGTACTAGGCCATGCAGGGAGTGGCCAATTGGTAATTTAGTGAATGTGCTGCAAGCAATGTCCTAGGTATTAAATCTGGTTGCTATTTCAGAAGGGGTACCCTTACCTTTGGTCAAACATTAGATGACATGTGTGTATGTGTGTATGTGTGTGTGTGTGTGTGTGTGTCCTTTATGTGGAATCCCTGAAATGAAGCCATTATCTACTCCTGAAGGGTCGTGCCTGACTGGGAGTTGGCTAGAATCATTTTACTCTCCTTGGACTTCCCCTAGAGTTATTGGTGAAAATCTGTGTCCTTTTCTTCCTTGGATCCATGTAGGGAAGAGAGACCCATGTCCAGGTCAGGGCTGACCTACAGGGTTCTGTATTAGCACTGAGTGAGCGGTGCCCATGCTGTGCCCTGCCTCTCAGCTCCCAGGAAAGGCATGAGATGGGGTCTCCATGCACTCACCCACGTGATTGGCAGCCCCATTCTGCCTCTCGTTCTCATCCACTTGGCATTTCTTCTTGGCAATCTTGTGGAGAATTGAGGCCTTTTCTCTGAACCTCCCTGAAGCAAGAGAGAGTGGTGGGAAGGAGACAGAGTGAGAGGAAGATCGAGTCTGGTGGCAAAGGAGGAGCCATGGAAAAGCATGTGGCTTCTTCAGTTCTGCTGCTCTGTAGCAGTGACCACACCATCCTGTCCAACCTAATGCCCTAAAACCTGCAGGACCTGTGATTTCTTACCTGTGTGGGGTCGTTAGCCTGGTAATCTGTTTGAGAACCTCAAGCTGCTGGAGCATAGATGAAAAGTTCGTGACTTGGACCTCTTCCCTCCCCTCCCCAGTTGCTCACAAATAATCCAAAGCATCAAGCATCACTGAAACTCTCCCTGCTGCTGAGATCCAAAAGCAGGTTGAAAGAAACAGAGCTGCTCTGGAGGCACAGACATTTCTCTGGAATTAAATGCCCATCCCAGATTGGCTGTTGACAATGGATTGGGAAGAAATGCCAAGCCCAGGAGTCCTTTGTATTGACTTTGACTTTTAAGCTTTTATCATAATTAACATCACAGTTTCTAAATGAGTTAGGAATGGGCATCCATGAGCTTTCCAGATCAGCCAAGTTCGCTATAGTTAAAGCTCTAAAAAGGCACTTGGTTCCATTTGGGGATCTAGAGCAAAGAATGATCAACTGAGCATGGCAAGTAATGCTGGTGCTGAGATACTTTAGGAAAGGTGCTGGAACAATACCCTTCCCAAAGCAATCATTTAAAACAGCTGTGCCACAAGTGGAACACGTCATTTCTTCATTATGACACAATGGGTAAAGGCATGCAACAAGCACAGAAAATAAGCATGCAAAAATGTAGATTGGGGAGACAGCACATTTCTTTGGTCTTCTTTCATCTTTGATTTTCTTCCTTGGGAGCACCCAAGGTGCAAATATTCTCATTTTAAACCAACTGATCATTCAGATCTGATGAGTTCTTCAAAATGCCATGACCCTTGTAATTCTACCATCGGGCAGTTTTTGTTGGCTGTGTTTCCTAGCAGCATGTTAACAGGGCTTCCCATTCCACTTTTCTAGTTAGAACCAAACCAAACTAAAATGTTCCTCCTGGAGAGGCTCTTCTGGAATGGGACACGGCAGGTTGGCATCCACCTGCCCCTCCCATGGATGGAAATCATGGCATGTGGTGACATAGTGGTGACATGTATGACTGGTTGGGAGTAACAGAACCTGTAAGCTCCACTGGTGAATGTGGCAGGGGCTAAGGCCATTCTGCTCACAGCTCCATTAGCCATGACCTTAGACACCTTGTTACATCTAGGCAATCTCTAGGCAAAGAATGTGCAGCCCAAGGTGTATTCTCAAAGGCAGCATCAAGGGAAATATCATACACAAAAAAATGCAGGTCAGTCTTCTGTGTGGGCTGCAGAAGGGACGAGAAGGAAGGATGGGGAGGGGGGCATGGCATCCATCTTTGAGGGATGCTGAAGGTCAGCCTGAGGTCAACAACCTGGAAGGAGGTTTGAATTTGGTTGTTTCTATTTAATCTCCCAGGTAAACTGTAGGAAGAAAAAGGAAAAGGAAACATGGCTAGGGAAAGGAGGAGCAAGGAGAGCAAGGAAGGAAAGAATAAAAGAGAAAAAGAAGGAACCAAGAAGGAGGTGGGACGCAGGGGATGAGGTTGCCTGGAGGTTGCTCAGGGGGTGCCGATGCCAGGCACTTTCCGGCTGCCAGATCTAGTGTTTTCTGAGGCCCAAGAATATAAGAGCGATCTTCAGAAACTCTCTAGCCTTAGGCCTAAAGAGGGGATACTCTCCATGGAAGTATCCCAAAAGTATCCAATTCCAAAAAAGTCCCCAAAGCACGATTTTTTACTCTAGAAAATAAAAAGGAGATTCTGAAATGTCATTGGAGATGATGCTTCTCACAAACCTTGTGGTGTCAGGATTTCTCTGTGAGCATAGATCATGCTGTAGCTCTGTGAAATAAAGATGATCAATATTTGCTATTTTAAAATTATATATAAAATAATAAAGTAGGAGAGAATTCAGAAGAGGAAATAAGATTGTGGAAATAAAACCCGAGATAATAACCCAATCCAAACAAGGTCCTAAAATCAAGAATAAAGGCAGAGAAACCAGCTAGAAACCAGCGAATGGCCTATTGTTTGTGGTTACAAGAATCTTCCCAGAGATTAGGTGTGTGCCAGAGAGAGATACTTAAAAAAGGGACCTTGAAATATGTTAGGGTATAGCCAATTTACTCTGCCAGGAAGCATCCTTCAGTACAGTATTGGTAACACATAGGGTGGGTTTTCCTAAATTCTCCAAGGGAGGAGGACTATGTGGACACAGTAGGAAATGATTCTCAACCTGGGATTTTGTAGTTTCTCATACATTTTACATGCCAGTGAGGGTTTTCTGAACTGTCTTAGTATTTTTTTTTTCCCACTGGAGCAGCACCTCTGATTTCCTCTGCTGTTGAAAAGTAGAAGGGATTCACCTTGTTTTCTTTCTCTTGGGATCTAGCCCTTTGGGCAGGAGGTAAAGCAGCTGAGGCTGGTTGGTGAACTACCTTTTCTGCAGATTTCAACTTCTTTCATTCACCTTTTCCTGACCATTGTTCGTCCCATTGTCATGACCTGACAACCATTGTACATTCTAAGTGCTGCTGCTGCTGCTGCTCTATAGCCTGGAAGAATTTCCCCTTGAAGATTAGTTTCTTGAAGGGCTGACCTTCAGAATTAAGCACACACGGATGCTCCTGGAGGGTGATGGGTGGGGCTTGACAAAGGGAGGTATGCCCATTCCAGACCTGTGGACACCCCAGTGACACCCCAGAGTAGCTTCTGAGAAATGAGGCTCCCAGGACAAGAATGACCATGAGATCTCTGGGGCAGAAACCAGCACAGAACTTGTGGTTTTCAAAGTGACCCTTTTGCCATGGGGTAGGAAGACATGGCACCTTGAGGACCTGTTCAGGTTCAAGTCACCAGCTGGGGAGAACAAGCAAAACGTTTGTGAAGGGGACAGCAGGGTATTGTGGTTAAAAAATTGAAGCAATTTAGAGGCAGGTGGGTCTGAGCTCAAGCCCAAGTTCTGTTGGGTGATTTTTGGTACATTCCTGCATAATTCTGGTCTTCAGTTTTCTCATCTCTTACATGGGGATTCCAATGGTATTGGCTCACAAGTTAAATGTAAGCCTTACAAAAGAAAATTTGTGTATAGGGCACTTCACAGTGTAAAGAATTGGAAAAACTCTGTCAATAAGAGGAAAAAGACAAACAAATCAACAAAATGCTCAAGGACAACGGTGATATGGCTCCAAGTTGCTTTAGGAGGACTATTGCTATTTTCTCTTCTTTACATCCACATAGGCAGGACTGGAGAATCAGTCACATGCAGACCTAGTAACATACTAAGACCTTGTGGGATTGGTGCTCTGGTTTCACAGAATCCTTAAAAAATCAGCTCCAACTTTTAGGCACAGATTGCTGTAAGGGATGGCACAGAGGAACTGATCTAAGAAACAATTGTGCAACTTTGTGCTTGATGATAAAGAATGAAGGTATTCTTCAGTACTTTTCAAGGTCAACGAATGAGCGATTTTTATCAGTTTTAAGGCTACCTTAAAAAATATACTCTGTTGTGGCGTAAACCTTAAGGTGTTGAATTTTTATATAGCTACAGATATTTGTATACTTAGAAATCTCAGAAATAGCAAACTCTGCTCAAATCGTGAGGCACCTACGTCAAAACCTAGTGTATAATTTTAATATAGATTAGCTTGGTCTGAAATTTGCAAGAGTACCAGCTGAGTGTCCTCAGAGGAGTGTGTGTTGAGGGGGTGGTAAGGAAGTATGGAAGGAAAAGATCAAAGCATAAAGGCCCAATGTGAATAAGAATGAATTTAGAAAAACATCCGGCAATCAAAATCTTTGACCAAATCACTCTGAGATGAAACAGAAATCCCACGCTGCAGTGCAAAGAAAACCATCGGAGGGTCTGTTCACTCAAAGGAAATAATTTGGCTTCTGTTCTGCTGGTTAATTAATTAAAACAGCCCCTTGCACATTCCCACATCTTTCCCACCAAGCCTGTAATAGTCCAAAAGAACCCTTTGGGTTGGCAATCTGATTAACTCCAGGCTGCCATGGAACATTCTGCGCATCAGCAACAGAGGGAAAAAAAAAAGAAAAAAGGGACAAAAGAGATAAGATGCAAAAGGAGCTACTACACACCCCTCAGTGAGCAGCCTGTGGTTTGGGGAAAAAAAAAAAAAGCAAAAAATGAAACAGAAGGGAAAGTTTGAAAATAAGTCTTTTAAAATCTATTTTTGTGTTTGCAGCTCTGCCTGTCCTGTCTTTCTCTGAAGTTTGTGGCTTGGCAGGTAGCTTCAAAGGCAGAAGTGCACCTGAATTTGCCTCCCATTTATTCTGTGCCTTTTCTCCAGACTCAGATCATCATCAGACAGACCATCATCACCCTGACAAGGTGACACAACTGATGTGGCACTGCGGGGTCATCCTGGGCTCCTCTTTCTCCCATGCTCCACGTGCCTTCCATCAGCAACTCTGGTGCCTCTATTTTCAAGATATTTCAGACTCTGCCCACTTCTTCCTCCCCAGGCGGTTATCCCTGGGCCCCACCAGAAACAAGTCTCTCGGGAGCAATTTGTCTAGTCTGAGTGTATCCTTCCTACCCTTACCTCTTCTTCCCCCAGGCTCAAGGACTCAACTCACCCCAGCACACTTAGGGGGCAGCAGTGTGGACTAGGTTTCTCTCTTCTCTGTGCACAATCCTGGAATGGCTCTCTAGGTCAAAGTGAAAGTCAAGACCTTACAATGCCCTGCAAGATTCTATTCAATGAGGCTCACCCTGGCTGTCTCAATTTCATCCCCACTCCCTCTCCTTGCTGAAGGCTTCTCTATGGATACCCACACCCCTCTTTCTCATCAGAGGATGTGGAAAATTCAATATTCTTAGGGCACTTCATACACCAGTCACAGCCTCTTTTAGCTTACTGCCCACATGTCTGCTTTGCCCACCAGAGGGCAGT